AAGAGGCTTGGAAGAGACAAATGCCAGATTGTTGTTGGGTGTCATAGAGTCAATCTAAGAGACCTCATGTGATAGAGTAGAAGTTCTCCACAGAGTTTTCTAGTTTAGTAAAGTAGAGGGTCAGTGAAAAAGAAAGATCCTCAACGAGATGGATTGACACAGTGGCTGCAACATTGGGCTCAAACATAGCAACGATTGTGAAGATGGAACAGGACCAGGACCGGGTGGTGTTTTGTTCTGTTGTACACAGAGTTGTTACGAGTCGGAACTGACTACGAGTCGGAACTGACTAGACGGCACCTAACAACAATCTTCAGGGAATTACCATAAGCCGCTGTGTGAGTTCGAATGGCCAACTTTTTAGTTAGCAGCAGAGTGGTTAGCTGTTGTACCACCAGGGCTCCTTTGCCAAGTTATTAAAGAGTCTTCAATTTGAGTGGGAAAATGGCATCTGTAGCACAGGAAAAGAGAAAATCATATCCCTCAAGCTTCACAGCCGCGTGAGAAGTATCAGTACTTCGAGAAAACGAGCGTCACAGTGAGGAAGACAATGGAAGGAAAATTTCATTTCTCTCTAGTTTAGAATGGGAAACCCCACTCCTCCCTTTGTCTTTCTAAATAGACTCAATAGCAAGGGTTACAGCCCGGGACAAAAGAGCCCACAAGGCAAACCGGTTGCTCTAGAGTTGATTCCGATTCATAGCGACCTGACGGGACAGAGAAGAACTGCTCCATAGGGTTTCCAAGGCTGTAATCTTTACAGAAGGAGCCCTGGTGGTGCAGTGGTTAAAGCCCTTGACTGCTGACTAAAAGGTTGGCGGCTCAACCCGCCAGCCGCTCCACGGGAGAAAGACCTGGCGATCTGCTTTCGTAAAGATTTCACAGCCTTGGAAACCCTATGGGGGCGTTCTACTCTGTCCTATAGGGTTGCTTTGAGTGGGAATTGACTGTACGTCAGTGGATAACCTAGGAAACCCCAGGCAATGCGTTCCCCCTGGAGAGGCGGCTCCGGAAGTAAGACGTCCTCACTGTCCGGCGGCCGAGCCCAGCCCACCGCCCCTCCCACCGGCCCCGGCCGCGCGGGATGACGTGTCTGAACTCCGGAGGCGGAAGCGGGAAGAGGTCGCGGGAGTAGGAGTTGGCGAGATGAGGCTGGATGGATCTGCGCATGCGCGATTCGCGCATTTGTCAGGCCGATTGTGTCTGGAGTCCAGTAACCATTTTTAATTGAGAAGCACTCCACCTCTCCAGGTTTTTGCTGATGCCTGGCGCGGAGGACTAATGAGGTGGCGGGGTTTTGAGCCAGAGAGTTGGGGAATGTTTGCCGCTGGGCGGGTCAGACCTCCCAGTGCGCTGCGGGCTCTGCCTCAGTTGTGGGGCAATCTCTTTCTCTTTCCCAGCCTCGTCTTCTGTAAAAAAAAAAAAAAAAAAAAAAAAGAAAAAAAGGAGGAGGTTAAACTTGTCTGGGAAGCTCTTAGGTTATTTCAGGGCAAAACTGCCATTCTAATTCAGATCAAGAACTTCTGGAGTACCACTCATCAAGTACTTTCAGATTTCTTGCGCCTTTTGTCTTTCCTTTTTTCCATTCGTCCACGGTTATTTACTGAGATCCTACTGCGAGCAAGACACTACTCTAGGCCCTGGGGATATACAGGTGAACAAGACTAGGTCCTTAACTCTTCTGGAGCTTATAAAAATGGGGGAGCGAGACAGTAAACAAACATAATTCCCTCGCCTTGCCGTCGAGTCGATTGCGACTCATGGCGACCCTATAGGACAGAGTAGAAGTGCCCCATAGTGTTTCCAAGGAGCAGCTGGTAGAGTCAAACTGCTGACTTTTAGGTTAGCAGCCAAGCTCTTAATAGTGGTAAATACTGTGGGATGCCAAGATGTTTAAACAGAAGAGTGGTATTAAGGGATTTTAGGATTTTATAAGATCGCTCTTGGCAAGAGTAGAAGCTGGAAGGCTATTGCAGTAGTCCAGGGGAACTATGACTTTGGACTAGGGTGGTGATGGAGTCGCTGTGTGGTGCACAGGGTTAAGTGCTGGACTACTAACTGAAAGATTGGTAGTTTGAACCCACCCATAGGCATTTTGGAAGAAAGGCCTGGCAATCTGCTTTTGAAAGGAGTGCAGTTCCCTGGCGACATGAGGTTGCCATGAGTCAGAATTGACTCACAGCAACTGGTTTGGTTTTTTAGGGAGGTGGTGGCCTAGTAGTTAGGAGCTGGCTGCTAACCAAAAGGTGAGCATTCGAACCCACCAGCCGGTTTGCAGGAGAAAGATGTGGCAGTCTGCTTCCATAAAGATTTACAGCCTTGGAAACTGTATGGGGCAGTGTTACCCTGTTCTATAGGGTCGCTATCAGTTGGAATCGACTAGAGGGCAATGGGTTTGGTGTTTTGTTTTGGCAGTGGACATGGAAAGTATTGGAAGAATTTAGTCTATAGTTCCGCAAACCCAAGGAACAGGATTTGCTGATGAGCTGCGTGGGAGAGTGAGCGAGGAGAAATTAGGGTTATCGCCTAGGTTTGGGGCCTGAGAAACACGTGGACTATGGTGCGTGTGCCGTTTCTAGAGGTGGGGAAAGTTAGGTGGGAGAAGGATGGGGTGGGGGCAGGGAGAGAGTGAAGGCCAAGCAGAGCATTCATCAGGCGGCTGGGTTTAATGGGGAGCCAAATTTGATTGTGACAAGAAATTATTCTGACTAAAATATTATCAGAACTAAGTATCGAGTTACAAGTTAACTTATGAAACCTTTGAAATTGTAATGAAAGTTATAAACCTTCCCTGGGGAAAATGTATAAACACCCACAAGAATTTAGATACGATTTCATGGGACTCAAAAGTTGCCTGAAGTCCATCGTTGCCCATTCTTGAATTCTGAGCTGGATGTACCGCCAGATTATACCAAAAACCCGTTGCCCTCCAGTCGATTCCCACTCATAGCAACCCTACAGAACAGAGTAGAACTGCCGCATAGAGTTTCCAAGGAGCCGCTGGTCGATTTAAACTGCAAGGTTAGCAGCCTAACACTTAACCACTGCGTCATGAGGGCTCCCCAGGTTATAGAGATGTTCCCAAACTATGCGCCTTGGCGCAGTGGCGTAAGTAGGGTGTGTGAAACCCGCTGTTGAAAATACTCTTGTATTGAAGAAACTAATTACTGTTTTAATCTCGCCGGAAAACTTCACTGCTGTGTTAGAATGATTCCAGACAATTTCCCAGGCGTGCATCACAAGTGTGAGCCCTATGAGAAGCCCTGAAAGTAACTTGGACAGAAGCAGGGGCGTCACCTGACCCGTCAGGTGGCCGAAGCCATCAGGAAGCATTAATTGACAAGGGTCCAAGCATATTTTTATGAAATTAGTTTCCTTAATTTGTCCATTTGTTATTTGAAATAAAGTAAACAGATAAGTACACTTTTTTTCTGGTGGTTTTATGGTGAGCGCTGCCTAGGCCCTCCGCCCAGGGCTCGGAAATATCTTCCGCCATGAGACCAAGCATTTAGCGGCGTCAGGTAAATAGAAGGTAGAGAACATCTAGACACTTTTCCACTGCTCAGACTCCTACTAGATTAACTTTTGTTATAAAAATGGCTGCTATTCCTCCTTACCAAGCAATGTAGATTTTACATCATTTTTTATTTACTCTTCATCACCTTAAGATGGGCGTTCTTTTCTTTCCACTTCTCAGTTGAAGAACCTGGGACTTGATTCCTTAGCTTGCCCAAGGTCACATAACTAGAATAGCGGTGTTCCAAAGCTGGAGCTCTTATGCAGTGCAAACTACGTTTGTAAGCAAGAATTGTATTTTGTTGTTCTGTTACCCCACAGCATAGATCAGTGGTTCTTCACTTTTTTGGGGGGCGGGTGTCACAAGACTTCTCTGAAAATTTAATGAAAGTTACAAAACTCTCCCTGAGGAAAACCTATAAACACCCGTAAGAATTTAGATAGGACTTCATGGGGCTCCAAACCTTCCTGAAGGACATTCTTGCCCATCCTTGAATTCTGAGCTGGATGTACCCCCAGGTTATGATTTCTTGCTATTACATAGGCCAAAATGGTACGTTCTCCTAAGTCTACAATTGAAATACAAAGCTCAATTGAATTGACTTTATGTCACCAAAAAAGCAAGTTTCTCATTGAAAGGTGCTCAGAAAATGCACTCCCCCCGCCCCCACACGCACACACATGTATGTGAACATAAACTGACATCATGTCACATCATCAAGAAGAAAAGTGACAGGGACTTGCTCAAGGGTTATCGCACCAAATTTCTCCTTTGCCAGAACTACTTTCCTTGTTGAGCTCCCAGGTGTGCCCATGTCTTCCTTGCAAGGAGATATCAACACTACCTTTTCCAAATCGTCTCTTCCTTTTTCTCCCATCTCATTTCCACCTTAAAGAGGTCTGTTTATTCTGTGCAAACAATCGCTGTCCCACGCAAGACTGCGCCACCCCTTCCAATGCTTGGAAAATGCATGTATCTCTGAATAGCTGACTGTTTGAGGTTTTGTAGCTAGTTCCTCCCTATCTGTTTCCTTATCTTGCTTCCAACCAGGTGTGTCTCTAATTTTTCCTTCCCACTCTGCCTATCTCCATATTCATCAGCAAATACTTTCTGGAGTACCTACTACTCTGTGATAAGGGTCGGAGTGCCGCGGGCAGTGTAGTGACAAAACCGTACGTTGTTTATGGGAAGTTTAACACAGCAAATGGTAAGCGCCGGACAAGCGGTACACTCCACTGTGCCCCAAGGGAGTTCTAGATCGGAATTTGGAATCAGAACAGGAGCGCCGGAACAGCTCCCAGTCCAGCTGGCCCCCGGAAAACCTGGAAAGTGGATTTTCTTCACGCTCCCTCCCGGAAACTCTTTGGGCCGCTTGGGGCCGCTCTCACCGAGCATGTGCAGACGGTGCTGCGCATGCTCTGCTGGGGTCCCGTTCGGTTTCTGTTGCGGGACCCGCGGAGTCTCCTAGCAGGACCGGAACTATCCGTCGCGGGGTCGGCCTCCTTCATCTCTGGTGGCCTTGTCGTCGTCTCCGAGTCTCCCCGTCCCTCCTTCCCTTTTTACCCTATAGGCTCGGCTGCTCTTTCCCCGAAACAGCCGTCATGAGTGTGAGGCTGCCGGCGTCGTCTCCACCTCGGTGGCCGCGGCTGTTGCTGCTGTCGCTGCTCCTGCTGGGGGCGGCCCCAGGCCCGCGTCGGGGCGATGCTTTCTACCTGCCGGGCCTGGCGCCCGTCAACTTCTGCGAGGAAGAAAAAAAGAACGGCGAGTGCAAGGTGGGTGAGGCCTGGCGGACCCAAGGTGCACTGTCGGAAGGGAAAGTCTCCTTCTATCCGGGAGAGCTGGGGTCCCCGGGTCGGAGCAGAGGGAAGGGGGTGTAGCAGTGGGTTGGGTCGAGTTTCCCCAGAAGCGCCTGGGCTCGGTCGCCTTTGGATTGGAGGTTCTGGAACGGCCCTTGTAGGGATAGATTCTGGAGGACTCAGTGGGCCTTCACGTCTTGCCGGCCAGGTAGCATGAGGAACTGTATTCAGTTTTCCTCGAGCAGGGACTGTGTGAATCGAGCTGCCTTGGAGTTGGGCTTCACGACTCCAAGCTTTTGAGTTGGATGAATGCTGGTCAGCAGTGGTTCCATGAGTGAGTCTCACGCCCTCTAAAGAAGTGGGCTGTCAGGCCCGCCCAAGTGAGCAACTCCAGCTTAGTTACAACTTTCATTAACTTTGAACTTCATTGCTTCCTGTTTTATTGTACTTTCCTGGAACTCCCGTTTGGTTATGAGAGTCTGTTCTTTCTAGCACTTTGATTTCTAACTTCACGGTTAGCAGCTGATTCCTTTTTTGTGAATTATAACACTGAGAACTGCAGAGATTACCTCGATAAAGAATTGCTGGAGCGATAGAGACACAATTTTTGCCTTTAAAGTGTGAACAAAATTTTTAATAGACAAAAAACATATAAAACCCCACTGTTTAGTTTATCTGAGATTGTTTTAAACACCTGAAAAGTTACATGAGAGGAGAAAGTAGTGGTTTCTTCCTGCGGCAAGTGCTGAAAACTTTGATCTTGTAAGACGTTCACACTCAAGGTTTTCAGTTTAACTGATAGAAAAAAAGGCAGAAGTCAAGTAACCTGCTTTCAGGTTACTCAGTGTAGGGCATGACGGTATACATACACAGTTATTTTGTTAAGTTGTTAAAACTTCCCATTTGGGGGATGAGGATCTCTTTGAAACCGTTACTAATTTTAATAATTCAAATAATCTTTCTGCAGGCTTTTACCACCTGTAAAACCCACTGCCATCCAGTCAATTCTGACTAATAGCGACCCTGTAGGACAGTGTAGAACTGCCCCACAGGGTTTCCAAGGCTGTAATCTTTACAGAAGCTGTCTGCCACATCTTTCTCCCAAGGAGCAGCTGATGGGTTCCAACTCCCGACTTTTGGGTTAGCAGCCCAGGGCTTTAACCACTGCACCACTGGGGCTCCTTTTACCACCTATAAATAGTTTTATTTACTAAGCGACTTTCTTTTAAGCTGGTGTTTATTTTATTACTGCTAATTTTACTGTCGCTGTGAATTTTGAGCATATTTTAGGGCATTTAAGAAGCCATTAAATTTTTCATAGCATTTTCCAGTTTCTGTTTAGATTTGTTAGCTGTCTTGAATGACATAGTGATACATCTGTTCAAAAACTAGGTTCTGTATAAATCTCTTAGGGTTTTTAAGGTTTATTCAAGTCTACTGATAGCACTTGAGTGCTTTAACTCTCATACCCTGCAGTACAAGAAGCTTCCCCCCCCCTTTTGGGAGTTCTGACTGAAAGAATATAGTGCTTTCAAGTGGCTGAAAGGAAGAGCTGTTCTTAAAAGCACACTGGTTTTTCCATTAAGTATTTTGTAATCAGCCTTTAAAGCCTGGTATTTGGCCTTTAAATTTAATTTTAGCAGCAATCAGATATTGTATTCTTTGTGCTTCCCAGATGAAAAATATATTCTCTGCCCTCTAGGAACTTCAAAGTAAGAGATATAAGCTTATGAACAGATTACTGAAATCTGATAGGTTATAAAAGATGGATGTCCAAAGTATTCTGAAACATAAATGAGGAAACATCTGTGGATTGGAGTCCTTGGGGAAAGCTGCAGGGAGGAAGTGATATTTGAGATGGGCCTCAGAAAATGAGTATGAATGAAATTTATAAGTCGTCTACCAGTTAGGTGATTTTTGCTTTCTCACTGAGTCCTTTTATAGTGGCTACTTTTTCGTTAATTTCAGGGAGTCTTTTTGGATTTTTAATTTTTATAGGTATGAAACAGACAAGGCAGACCATTTTTCTGAAATTTTGGATTTTCACCTTTTTTACCAGCTGCTCTCACGTCTTGGTCAATGGAAACAACTCTTACAAGAGCAAAAGAATGTGCTTTTTAGCACTTTTTTCCTACAGTTTGACTAACTGGTGTAGGGAATTTGAAGTAAATTTTACTATTCTCTTTACCTCTCAAAGGTGAAACTGTAAATAATAGTAAACAGTTTAATTTTTATTTCAGTCAGAGTATGAATAATTTATTCTCACCCATTTCATATTTGTTAAGGAGGACAGTCTTGTACACATTCAGAAAAGCTGAAGGGATTTCTTTTTAAAATTAGAAACGGGAGTTGTGACATGAGAATAATTGTTTTCAGAAAATGCTATCCAGAGTTGGATGAATTGGGCTCTTACTTGTTAGACAGGTCATTGATATTGTTTCCATCAGCTTTTGCATCTGTAAAATAGGGATAATCATATTTACTTATTATGTATTTCCCTAGAAAGGTATCTTCTTTTTAGAGGAAAAGTAGAATATTTATCATTGTTGTAATATTATAAATTAACAATGTAGAGATAAAACAAGTATATCCTCATTGTAAGCGTAATTTATGTAGTAGTAGTCTTTAATGTACTCCAAAGTACCACGTCCTGCATTTAGCTCGCTATATATATTGAGATTCAGAAGAACCCTAAGGATTTGGTCATTTTCTCCCCTTAAAATTATTTTATGGTCAACTTACTACCAGAGAAACAGGACTCCAGTGAACATAAAGTGTGTATCACTCCTACTTCTGATTCATGATCTTTATTAGACTTCATAAATAATGTGTAACTGTGCTCTGTAACTTTTTTTTTTATAACTTATTATCATTGCATGGACATACAATTGAATATCAACATAGTACGCATCCTTATTGTTTTTTATTAACTATATAGTATTTCGAGGAGCCCTGGTGGCACATTGGTTAAATGCTTGGGCTGTTCAAACCTACCAGCTGCTCTGTGGGACAGAAATGTGACAATCTGCTTCTGTAAAGATTTACAGCCTTGGAAACCCTATAGGATAGTTCTACTCTGTCTTATAGGGTCTCTATGAGTCGGAATCAACTCGACAGCAATGGACTTTCATATTTAGTATTTTATTCATTACTGTACTGTGGTTTGCTTATTCACTTCTCATTTGTCAGATATTTAGGTTGGTCCCAGTTTTTCTCTGTTGTAAATAGTTTTGCTAGAATGTATTTAGCAGGAGCCCTGGTGGTATAGTGGTTAAGAGTTTGCCTGCTAAAAAAAGGTTGGCAGTTCGAATCCACGAGCTGCTCCTTGGAAACCCTGTGGCTCAGTTCTGCTCTGTTCTATAGGGTCGCTGTGAGTCAGGATCGACTTGGTGGCAACAAGTGTTTTTTTGGTTTACTTGCATATACCCAAATATGAAAGTACTAGGTCAGCAGGCAGTTTTATAGCTGTATTTAATATTACCAGATTTCTTTTAAGAAAGATAGGTTTAATTACAGTGCTGTTTACTAAATGATTGCCTGTAAGTAGTCTCTGCGGTATTTTAATTTTTATTTCTCAATAATTATGTGATGGTACTTAAACCATTTTTTTCAAGCATCACTTTTGTTGTGGTTTCTGAGTCTTTTTATTTTTTCTTTTAATTGGTAGGTTTTGAAACTGTAGTAATAAAGGATTGGGCCATGGTATTCTTTTTCTGCAGAACCCATTTTACTTTCTTAAGGGATAATATAGTGATTGCAGTAAGTAGAGTAAAGCCGTGATTAGTCGTGAATAGGTCTTCACAGAGTAAAATGTGAAGTTTGTATTCTGCAGAGTTAAATATTTTGGCAATTTCAGTTTGGTGGCACGCTGTTTAGCAGATCTTCAGTGCACTGTATGGAATCTTGAGGGTTCATAGTTGAAGATGAGTGAACAACTCGCTTTTGCTGCTTTTTAAGTTTCAAATAATTCTTGGCTTGTTGACAAGAATTCAGGCCTAAGAACTAAAAGTAGCATAATTCAAAAACATCTGCCACTTTTTAACTGTTTGTGTATATCATGTTCTGAGATGAAGGATGAAGAACTGTTCTTTCCTGTGCAGTAGTAAAAATGACCAAATATACCCCTTGGTGGTTAAAAAGGAAAAAAGAATGTTTAAGTGAATTAATGACAGCTCTGTGAAAAAAAGGAAACTTACTCATGGTCGTACTTTTAACCTTCATTTCTTGCTAGTTATTTTTAGAGGCTCTTTATAAACACTATGTCTGTTATTTTGGGAGCAGTTCCATATAAATATGGAATGAGTCAAGTTAAGAAAACAGTCCTGAATATTGCAATGAACAGACACAAGAATAAATGTAGGTTTTAACTTGACTGTAGAAGTAGTTCGAAGATTTTGAAGTATTAAAAATAAATTTATATGTGTACTTATCAATATAATTGATACATAGTTATTGATTTATAGTTTTGTGTTCTCATGGTTTTCTCTGGAATAAGAGCATTGATTCGTAGCTTCTGGGAACTAATAAGAATGAGTGTTACTGATACTGTTTCAAAACTGAAATCTGTCATTGGGAAGAATTGCCTGGACTATGAGAAATTCACATTCCAACAAATTGTTCTTAACTTCTTGTGAAAAAAGTATATGAAATTGAATTATAAAGTTGGCCTTTCTTTTAAAACCCTGTAATCATTTGTTATAGTGGATCTGAGATGTAGCGCTGGGAAAGCAAGAAAAGTTCATATGAATAAAGTATTGTCTTGCTGCCTTTGGTTCTCCACAAAGGGAAGCCCCTTCCAAGGGTATACACTTAAATGTCTGCAACAGAATCACAAACACAGAGACGTGTAAGTTCCACAGAGGCTGGTCTGTGCTCTCTGTCAGCCTTAGAGCCTGGTTCCCCACATCCCTGCTTTCCTATTCTTCTTTGAAGTTTTCTATCATAATACTCAGTAAGTTTTGTAGTTAATTGTAGCT